ATTAAGCAGAAGAAATTAAAAGAAGAAATTAGTAAAACTTGTAAACCATTATTATCGGCAAAATATATTCTTAGAATCTGAAAAAATATTTCCTGCCTTTAAATAACCTGTAAAATGTTGATAAGCTGTACAAAACGAAACAAACAAAAACCAATTAATCATGTTTTCCAATCAAATTTTATCTATAAAATGTAAATGCAATGTTAATTGTATCTGTCTGGCACAGTGGATAAAGGCGTTGGTTAGATCCAGTGACAGGACCCAAAAAGTGTGCGTTCAATATCCGGTTAAGGCAGTGGAGAACTTGGAGAGGGGAATTAGCAGGAGATAATTGTTAACTGACATCCAGTAAACATGGCACGTGGAACTAGAACAGTCTACCCCAGTGAGTGAAATAAAGGGTTCAGTTCGAAAGTCCAACCACCTGAAGAAGGCCGGGGCGTAGAACGGCCGAAACGTTGTTATAAATATGGCGACCAAGATGAGTACAATAGTCTGAATAATGTAAATAATGTACATAATACTTCATCTCAGAAATATAGACAGATGCTAAATGAAAAAGTTAACTAGCAACACACGAAATAGCCCGAAACTGCATTCCAATCCACAATTATTTCCACTGAAAAGCCCCTCAGATAATTCGAAACACAACCGTTACCGCCCACCAAAATAAGACAATACACTGCCCACAATGCAATAAACTACCCACAATGCATCACTGATCTGTATATATAATTAGTCGAGCAAAAACACAATATACATGGTTTGATTATTGTCTTTAGCAGGAAACAGACTGTCACTGTTAACTCTAATGTCGACTTTTATATATCTCTTTCCTACCAATAGTAGACTTAGTAAAATATTTAATAGGAACACCCTTAAAATCTAGAAAGTATAATAAAAAAACACAATAATAAAATCCTGAACAACCCCCCATGCCTGAATAGTATTAATAAAAACCCAACACTTAAATTAGACAAAAATAGTGAAAAATTATGTGATTGCAGAAATCCAGAAGACTGTCCATTGGAAAATAAATGCTGCGTTAAATCTGTGGTATACCAATGTACAATTTCATCCATTGAGAGTCCTAATACTAATATGATATATATTGGGTCTACGAAGAATGAATTTAAAGCCAGATGGAGGCAGCATAAGTGCTCTTTCAACAATATATATAAAAGAAATCAGACTTCCCTATCTAAATATTTTTGGCATTTGAAGGAAATAAATAGGACACCTAAAGTAAAATGGAAAATTGTAAACAAAACTAGAACTTGTAAAACTTGGGATGACCCATGCCCTTTATGCCTACATGAAAAACTACACATTATTAAGTTTCTAAATAATAAAAATCTATTAAACAATAGACATGAGTTAAAGGTTTTTTGCCGACATCATTAAATTTTTGCATTGAATAATTAGCATAAAAACAAACAAACAATAAAATAATACAATAGTCCGAATAAATAGTTTAAATGCCCTACAAAAAAGATAACCGTTTATGAAGTCGTCAAAAAAGAAATGTTACGGCAGTTTTTTATATACACAAAACCCTTTCAGAAAAAAAAAAAAAAAATAAAATAAATCTCCATAGACACGTAAACCAGACTAGACGAAATCATCTTCCGTTTTAAATTTAGACACCCCCAACCTTACGCTGACTTGACATCTGTGAATGTAACTCTATACTGATACAAATTATTAACACCTACACCCCTTTTTATTTAAACAATCGCTCTAGCCGTTACCATAGAAATTTTGATTTCAGTAATGAATATGCTATTAAAACACGTAAATTTCAGAAATAAGTTATTCCCAAAAAGATTTTGCTTGAAGATGGAACAGAGCTTACTTTAATTCAATTTAATTCAAATAATTATATTGAAGTTTTCGGCTCTTGTTTTGAAACATGAGAACTCTTATGTAGCGTGTTGGAATCATATTTTTAAATAAATAATTATATATATATATATATATATATATATATATATATATATATATGTGTGTGTGTGTGTGTGTGTGTGTGTGTTGAACAATTTCAGATGGAGTATGTCTATAAAAGGGCATTAGAAATAAACAACAGGAAACTTATCTTAGGTGACACGTTTTATTTTATCAAGGCAAATTTGATTTTGTGACAAGTTTTTATATACAAGGGCAAAAATGGTATTGGCCATTCAAAATTTGGAGTGCTCATGAATATTCATTAGGTTAGCAAAAACTCAAGTTCTTGGACATGAGGAGATAGAGTTCGTTATTAATAAAGGAAATAGAAATATATATATATATATATATATATATATATATATAAGTGTTATATGTTTTGAATAACAGATTATGTATTTAACCGTTCGATTTTAACTTTCTTATATTTTTTTCTTGGAATAGTAGTATATCTTTCAAGAAAGGTGTGGATGACAATATATATACTCCTGAAAAATTTATTTCGGTTGAGCTCTCTGGGGAGGAAATGTGAGTTTGTAAACAGTGACTATTATGGCTAATAATGCAAGACTCTTCGGTAAATCGAATTGAGTTCTCTCAGTCACTGGGTGTTTATCTAAAAATAAATACAATTAAAATTCACCTTCATCCCTGCCGTGCGCCAACGGCTTAGTGGTAGAATCCCAGACTGACGCCTATTCAATCGGGTTTCGATCCTAGCTCGAGGCAACTGGATGTCTAGCCACACTGATGAGCTGTGTTACAGCGAAACAGTCTGTCTGTGGATGACAATATATATATATATATATATATATATATATATATATATATATAGAGAGAGAGAGAGAGAGATCTTAGGAAATTGATTAAATCCAACAGTATATTTATTTATTTACATCTACTGGTCTGAATATTCGAGAAATCTTATTAGGAAATATGCGTCCTAAGGCAGGATTAGAACCAGCGTTCATTGAGGAAAACCATCATTAGATCTGATGGGCCTTAGACCAGCTCGGCCTCGTAGAAC